AAAAAAAAAAAAACAAACAAAGACACCAGAAAAACTGTCTTAGAGCTGGGTGTGGTGATATACACCTATAATTTCAGCCCTCTGGGAGATTGAGGTAGGGAGTAGGGCAAGTTTATTTGTTTTTTGATACTGGGGATCGAACTGGGGACCTTTTGCTTGGAAGGCAGGTGGCAGAACCACTGAGCTAAATCCCCGGCCCAGGGAGTAGAGCAAGTTTGACCCAGCCTGGGCAACTTAGTGACTAAGACCTTGCCTCAAAAAATAAAAACAAAAAGTAGCTTAATATGAGGGCCTTAGCTTCAACCTCAGTACTACAGGAAAAAGAAAAAGTTCTTGGAATAATTAAGGCTTTTTTCAAAGTTAAGACTACATCTACCTTTTTTTTTCGGTACCAGGGATCAAACTCAGGACCTTCTGCTTGGGAGGTAGGTGGCGGAACCCCTGAGCCCAAGACTACATCTACTTTTAAAAGAAGTTCATAAAGTAGACATAGAGGGCAAATAAATATGACATCATGTAGCCATACAAAAATAGCATATTTTCCTATTATGGTTTAGATCTAGAATGTCCTCCAAACTCATTTGCTCAGCGGCAGGCTTTTAGAATGTGATTAGATTTTGGGGGGCATTATATTCATCAGTGGATTCATTCACAAATGAATTCAGTAACCAAGTGTGCTATTAGAAGGTGAGGCCTGGTTAGAGGTGGATCACTGGGCAGTGACCTGGTAGGGTTTATCTTCCTTCCCAACCTTCTTCCTTCTCTCTGCCTTCTGATCACCACAACATAAATGGTTTTCCTTCACTATACCCCTCTGCCATGCTCTTTTGTCTTGGAACCCTCAAACCATGGGATAGAACCCAGAGAAACTGTAAGCCCAAATAAACCTCCCTTCCTTTAAGTTGCAAGTGTCAGATATTTTGTTTTAGCAATGAGAAAGTGACTAAGACACTTATTTAAAAAAATGTGTCTTACTCTATGCTAAAATTGGCAAAATAACAAATTACTGTAATCTTCTGAACCAAAAGTAAGAAGGTATGATTTATATTTTTGTTGTCTGAGACATGATCTCACTGTGTTATCTACTTTTTTTTCTTGAGACAGGATCTCGCTATGTAGTTCAGGCCAGTTTCAAACTTGCTATGTGGCTCATTTTGGCCTTAGACTCGCAATCCTCCTGCCTCAGCCTCCTCAATGCCGTTATTATAGGCATGTGCCATCACACCTGGCCTGGCTTACTTTTTTTTTTTTTTTAATTTTTTGGTACCAGGGATCTAACTTGGGACCTTCTGCTTGCGAGGCAGGTGGCAGCACCACTGAGCTAAATCCGCGGCCCTGGCTTACTTTTAAAGTAAGAAATATGTGGTTTTTTACACAGCTCAAATATTTTTATTTCTAATATTTTATTTCTAATTAGCTATTATAAATGAAATAATGTATATTCTCATGAAATGGTTCTTTTTAGATCTATTAACTAGAAGAGTCACTTAAGGGTAACTGATCATAATCCATGTTTTCATGTAAGCTGATATAAATTAAGTGGCCACAACCAACAAAAGAAAGTTTCATCCTAATGGTTACTTGAGTTAAGAACTATTGAATACAATTTTTTCTTTCTATCTATCTATCTATCTATTGGAGACAGGGTCTTGTTATGTAATTCAGGCTGGCCTTGAATTCACAGCAATCCTCCTACTTCAGCCTCCCAAGTACTGGGATTACAAGTATGCACCACCACACCCAGCAAGGACCACTGAATATAATTAATAAGCAGAGAGCATGAAATTTTTATAAAGTAAGTACCTCCTTAAGCTGCTCTTTTCGAAGTTTGTACTCTCTTTTTTGGGACTCCAGAAAGCTATTCAGTTCTTTCTTCTGTTGGGCCTGAATATGTTGCTGAAATTTTTTCTCCTCATTGGCCATCACTTTAGCCTATATAAAATTTTTAAAATGAATCAGATTAGTTAAGTAGATATATTCAAAACAGGTTTGAAATACATACTAAGGATATTTAAGAACAAATCAGTAGAATTATCATGAAACAAAATACCTAACCTAATTAGTAACACTGTTTCTTGGCATCATTTGATCTCTTACTGGGCCAAAATATTTTCACCTCTTTTCATTTAACAGGAATATAAATTTCTTCCCCAAAAAACCCAAAACAAATACATATTTATCTTCTAGTAAAATTAAACTATGATCTTTTTACCAAGATTATCTTATATATTAAATGAAATACATTTACCTTCCAATTAATCCTCGATCTTTATATAATAATATGAAACTATTAAATAAATGTATCATACTGTTTTAAAATTATATATGTAATACATATTTAGAACATAGGAAATATGGAAGGAAAAAAGATGAAAAATTTCACATGACTTTCGTATCCAGAGATAATTATCTAAGTAATCGTTTGGCTGCAAACACATCCTATTTATTTCCAGCATATATATATTTCAACAAGTTTTTGTCTTTTTCAACAAATTCTTAATTATATTGCATAACCTGTTTCATGAATAGCTTTCTATATACAGTTTGTTAGTATCTATCTCTTCTCAAGCTATTAAAAATACCACCCAGGGGCCAGGGATTTAGCTCAGTGGTTCTGCCGCCTCCCCTACAAGCGTAAGGACCTGAGTTCAATCCCCGGTACCAAAAAAAAAAAAAACAACAACAAAAACCCACCCAACACCTCATAGGATTCCAAATATCTGTATATTGTTCTATCAAATTATTTCAAATTAAATATTTATACTGTATCTTCTTTTGTCAAATTCCTACAACTGTTTTTTTTTCCTTTTTTGAGGGGTGAAGGGAGAACAAGGTAGCTATGATAAATAAATCTTTAATACAAACTAACTGAACATATTTATTTTGATGATACTGTGTTAACTAAGAAATATTCCACTTGGCAAATATGACTAGGAAAATAAAGTGAAACTGATGGGAATACCAAAAACATTACAGGAAAAGGTTTCATGTAATTACAATACTAAAAAATACATCTATATCCTAAGGTAGATACTTATTTATATTCTGAATCTCTTAATTTCCAATCTCAAACATTCTCTGTATATATTGTCAACTATTCTGACATAAGAATGCCATATAAACTTAAGGATTCTAAAAAATACACAGAGAATCATAAATGTCTCTTTGAGACCTAATCACCTAATGATAGTTAATCAAAGTTCTCAGAAAACTAGAGTACCAAAAGCCTAGAATACTTGAATGACTTACTTGGTGTGATATTAATTATCAGGAAGCTATCAATTATCAGGAAATAATCTAAAGTCTATTACTTATCAGGAAATGATCCAAAGCTATCAAGTATCAGAAAATGATCCAAAGTCTATTAATTCACAGACTTAGTAATGAATATCAAAACATCATTTTTTCATACGCAAAATGCACATACAAAATTAGTGAGAGAAAAAACACACAAAAACAATACTCATTTTCGGTGACTGACCTACCAACAATTTATAGAAAGCCTTAGACAAGTTACATAAATGCTTCTTCCTTTCCTCAGTCAATTTACTCAGGAACTGATACTCCAACATCAAAAAATGCTATACTGAAGTAGATACAAGCTAAAAGAAGCGAATTAATAATACTGAATCAGCCACCTCTTTTTCCATAGCAGCCTGATGTTTCTTGATAAGTTTCTCCATTTCTGCAGCAAAATTGTTACGCTGAGTTTCAAGATCTTTGTCCAATCTGAGGCGGTGTTCATCCATTTCAGCCTTTAGCTTATTTTCCAGAGTCATCAGTTGCTTTTGATGTTGCCGCCTCATTCGCTTATACCCAGACATCTGTTCTCTAAGCTCAGAGTCCTGCTCATGTTCTTGCATTTGCCTTGTAACCTAGACAAAATGGACAACGGACAAAGAAAATAAAGCAAAACATTTTTCTTTCAAAAGTATTTAGATCACTATACTATTAACTATATAAGTGATTAATGTAAGAGATCCAATGACAGCAGTTTCCAATTAAAATTTGCAGGATGTCTTTCAAAGAAATAGACAAGCTATATAATTTATATGGAGTAGACAAGAAGATCAAGGGAAACAGCATGAGCACAACAGCACATGCCTGTAGGCCCAGTGACTTAGGAGGCTCAGATGGGAGCATTACTTGAGTCCAGGAATTCATGGCGAGCAATGTACAAGACCTAACCTTAAAAAACAAAAGGCCTGGGGATTTAGCTCAGTAGCACCACACCTACCCTCACAAGTGCAAGATCCTGAGTTCAATACCCAGTACTGAAAAAAAACCCCAAAACATCAAAAAAACAAAAAAAACCAAAACCAAAAAATCAACAAAACAAAACTGTGGAAACAGATGTACTCATGTTAATTGATTTTCTGTCAGCAACTTCTGCCTGCCATGCCATAGACTGTTTCTCCTCTGCCATGCCACCATGCCTTGGAGCCATCAAACTATAAACTGAAACCTCTACAAACTGTGAGCTAAAATAAACCTTTCCTCCTTTACACATTGGTATTGGGTATTCTGTCCCAGTAACAAGAAAAGTAACTAAGACACCCTCTGAATTTTTTACTTAAATCTATTCCATGTTTTTGATTAAACCTGTAATTTAAAAGTATCCTTAATTAATTTGAGAAAATAAAAATATGGGTAAGACTTGAGAACACTTAATACCATTATGTATTTGGCAACTCAGATAACTCGCATATCTTTTTAAAAAATCCTATTATATATTCTAATAACTTATTTTTTCATGATATCTTAATGTAATTTCTTTCTATCCCTAGTATCCTTTATTATGTTTTGCTCCTACTTGACTCCTTGAACAGTTACAAATGTCCTACTATAGCATGTTTGTAAGGGACAAAAAAATCTATATTATCATCTGAAAAGTTAGAATAACAATTAGAACATACCAAATAGAATTACTTGCCATTTCTGAAACTGCCCTCTTTCTGGTTATCCTCACACAATATACTGCCTTATTGCCACTTCATTTATGTGGAAATACCATTGCTCCTCCCTCTTTCCTTGTGCCTAACAACTCTAAATGCTCAAACTATTTCTTTCAAAAATATTTTTCCACTCCTAATAAAAAATTACCTGAATATCTCCTTAGTATCTTGTAACTCTTGTAAGTACTGAATATATTCTGAACTATTAATCATTTGTGTACAAGTCTTGAATATATTATTAGTTTAATATTTCTCAGAGTGCTTTGCATATCTTTCTCATACAGGCACCTAAATGTTGAATAAGTATTTTGCAAAATAAATTACAAATACAAAAAAAATCAGATAAACTGCTAGGTTCACATGAAAAACATATTTCTCCCTAGGTCCAGGAAAGCACATACCAGCGATGCCGTCCTTATAGTTGCAAAATGTTCTCGATTACGATAGTGTGATTTGTGACGAGATACTTGGGGTGGAGATTGTGGATCTGATGCTCTTGTTCTACAGTCTCCTTCCTCTCTATAATTTTCCTCCTCCTAAGCAAAGAAAAATACAGCATCATATAAGGTGCATAAGTACTTTGTTTGAACCTTCAAGGAAATTAGAGTTTAAAGATAATTTGATCAACAAGTATCACATGCATAATTTTAAAAAGATAAAAAACCAGAGGAATGCCATTATCTTATAAATAATATAGAGACTAAGGATAAGGAAATGTACATCATACCCTACATATCATGTGCAAAACTGGAAGCTTTGACATAATTTAAAAATAAACAGAATGACACATACCCAATATTTTAAATAATATTAATAAAAATTAATGATTCAAAGGCTTTTAGGTTTTAGAAAAACTATCTTAAAACTTTTTATAATATTTTTGCCACCTGTCCAAAATGAGCAATAAAAAACGGTTGCAAAAACTAAAGAAATGGGCTCAGATTTTGCTCAGTGGTAAAAAGCTGGCCCAGCATGTTCAAAGACCTGGGTTTGATCCCCAGCACCAAACAAACAGATAAAATTGTTGTTTTTCCTTATTTACCTCAGATCATCAACTAAAGAGGAAGTCAATAAATAGCAACAAATTATAAAAATAATATTTTTATGACTGATTCCACTGTCTTTGAACATAAAAATTAAAAGCAATTTTCCCCCTGAATAATACTATTGCTTAACCATCTTTTTCTGGGGAGGGGGGTAACCAGGGATTGAACCTAGAACCTCGCATCTGCTAGACAAGTGTTCTCCAAGTGAGCTACATCCCCGTTTTTTTCTTTTTTTTTGGTACTGGGGATTGAACTCAGGACCTTGTGCTTATGAGGCAAGTGGCAGCACCACTGGGCTAAATTCCCGGCCCCTCTCATGTCTTTTTCAGACAGGGTCTCACTAAAATGCCCAGGCTGGCCTCAAACTTGTGATCTTCCTGCTTCAGTCTCCCAAGTAGGTTGGATTATAGGTACATATCACTGCAATGGGCATAACTATCATTCATTTTTGTTTTTGTTTTTCCCGGTACCGGTGATCAAACTCAGGCCCTTGTGCTTGCGAGGCAGGCACAACGCCACTGAGCTAAATCCCAGGCCCCCATCATTCTTAATGTATTAAAATATGTACAATAAAAAACTTCCCATTTTAGTCACTTTAAGCTCCAGTAATTGAATTCTCAATGTTCTGTGCCCATCACTATTATTTCCAAAAATGTCTCATCACCCCAAATAGAAAATCTATACATTAGCAATAACTTTCATTTGCCCTCTGCTCAGTCCATGGTAGCCTTTCAATAACTTTCCATCTCTATTAATTTGTTTGCTCTAGATATTTCAAGTTGAATTACACAATATGTGTCCTTTTGTGTCTGAATTATGTCACTTAGCACGCTTCTGACATTCATCCATAGTGGATCATGTGTCAGAAGTTCATTCCTTTTTTTTCTAGTAGCGGGGATCGAACTCAGGACCTTGCACTTGTGAGGAGTTCATTTCTTTTTATAGTTGAATAATATCCCACTGGATGTACATATCACAATTTATCCATTCATTTACTGGCAGACATTTGGGTTGTTTCCTTTTAGCTACTGTGCCTAATAATTTTTCAGATAATACTGCAAGCTATGAAGTTAAAAAGAAAGCATGGCTACTAATTGCTAAGAGAAAATTATCTGACTTCAATATTTTTGTTAGAATTTTAAAATTTGAACTCAATATTACAAAGAATAAGGTAACAAAAACCAGTGTTTCCTAAAGCCTACATTTATAATTTTCCACAATTACACTGAGTTTTATTCTTAGGATATAAAAATGGATAATGCAAGCCACTTTTCTGTTTTTGGCAGTACTGAGGATTGAACTCAGAGCCTCTGCACTCACTAATATCCTCATTTCTTTTTTACTTTTTTCAAATTTAGAGACAAGGTTTTGTTAGGGTGCTATGTGGCCTAGGCTGGGCTCAAATTTGAGATCCTAATGCCTCAGCCTCTCTACTTTTGATCATCATTTACCGCAACTGCTTCTCTTATTCCAACAATAACCACTATCAATTTTATATGTATCCTTCCTTTTTTTTTTTTTTTTTTTCCTGACCGGGGATTGAACTTAGGACCTTGAGCTTTCAAGACAGGGCTCAAATTTGAGATCCTAATGCCTCAGCCTC